TGACTTGCGTTAGTTGACTTCTGCGGTACAGAAATAATAATAGGTATGCATATAGCTGATGTCTAACGAAGGACTCTCCTTCTCAGAACTGGCACACACTCTAAACAAATATGAATATATATTATATTTTGATATAAAATAGGCATACCTACTACTTTACAAATATAATATTACGTAATAATGATTGAAATTTAATTGGACATTAATATCAAGTATTAAATTACTACGATTAAATACCATAAACTCACTGATTTCATGATATGATATTGAAATATGTATTGTTTGAATTTATGTTGGAACAGTTTGACTGTTTTTGGGTCGGCTATGCGAAGTATTGAAAACAATTAAAGCACTACATAGAAAGATGAAAAACGCCAAAATCGACTCGAATGCCCGTAAGTATACGTATACTACAATAGGTTTAAAGATTTACACCAGATTCTGTAATTGCCAACAAGGCGCATTTTAAAACACTGCGGCGTATACTTAAGTTATGTATGACGTTGAGAATAGATTGGCGAGGACAAATATACCGGTTTTCGGCGTGCATCAAGAGAGAGGGGGGAGTGAGTGAGTGAAAGAGAAGAGTGTGTAAGAATGATAGTGGGGAGTAATATATTATAATATAAAAATCGTAGCGGAGGCCAAACGTCAGGGCAGAATTTTTTATAAAATTTAAAATATACATTTTTTAAGTTAAATGTAATAAAGTATGCCTATAATATGCCTATATAATAATAATTTATATTATTATGACATGTGGATGTCAGGTGCGTATAATATGCATATAATATATAAAATATGTTGTGATTTATTTTACATATAATAGTTCTTGTTCTGGTATATTAATAAATATAATATTTCAATATTGTACTATGATAATGAAATATAGGTCAGTTGCATACAGACAGTAGGGTGGAGATAAGACCTCCACCAAAATGTTCAGGAAGAATTAATTTCTTTTAAGAGATGTTTATTTGGTCAAATATAATCACTAATAGGTTGGGTTGAACAATTTTTATTTTTTTTCAGATAGCTACCTACTACTATAACATTATAACGATGCCGTGTAGTTACGAGACGAATAAGAGGTTTATTGTTTATTTTGACAAAATTCTATTTAGTAAAATTCTGTATTTTTGTCGTTTGGTTGTTGAAATCCGGAAAAATACTTTTCTTGTATCGTAGTCGCGGTCAAAACAGGGCTCTAAGCAAGATTCGTGTAGTTGCATCTCCACTTAAAATTGACCTAATATTACCTAATTGATTTGATATCATAACGTAAGCCGTTAATTATTTCAACGTTATTATTTTGTTCTTAAATATTGTGTTGAGTTTGTATAAAAGAACTATTGCGAACACAATGTTCATAAATGGAACGTGCGATTTTTCGATTTTTCGATTATTATCATATTGAATATTACAATATAATAATATGTAAATTGAAAATTTGCACAAATTATTTTTCCGTTCTTTATCACTTATTCAATGATCGACGGTGGAGATATATAGTGGCAGAAAAGCAGTTTCGCATACATATCTACTTTACGAATATCGTAAAAAAAAATTAAAATATTTAAAATTCCTGAGAGCATTGGAATATTCTGAAATTTCTAAGTCAGACCTTCTTTCAAATTAAATACATATATTTTTATAACTTTGATGTTAAAATTTTTTGTATGGATAATTATTTGCCGTTCGCAAATGAGTAAGCATAAAAATATGAAGAATGTTTATAGCAAAATGTATTATTATATTTACCTATATTAATTATATTATTTGCACATAAAAAAAAATATTACTGCTTAAATTGTTTTGGCACGTCTGTCTTTCGCCGCATCATCTATTAAGTTTTTAAAGACGTTTTTGTTCATACTAAAAAAGTATTGGAAACGCGCCGAAAAAATTAAACTCTAATATACCAAACTAAATACAACATAATAGTGAACTTCCGTCACAAAGTTGCAATTAAGTGCCGCAGGCCCGTAGTTGACTTGTAATCGACAACAGTAAGGTTGCCAATAGGTCCGCTATCAACGGGTAGCCGACAATTGTTAGTAAATCTATCTTTATGGCTTTATAATAAATTCACTTAGTTATCAAGATTACGGCACAGATGCGGTCGGCACAGTTGCAGCAATACCTTTTTGGTGGCACTTGCGGTCACTATTTTTTTTTACATATTTGAACTGGTTTTTACAATACTGATATACCTAATAATAATAAAGTTAAACTTAAACTATATTAACTTTCCTTCGCACTTTTACAGGCTTAGGACTGGCAATAAATATTATTTAATATTTATTTGGCGTACTTAAAAGTTGGTTTTTTTATATATATATTTATTGTAAACTATTCTGATATAAATATAAAATATATAATTATTAGACATGTCAGTTAATTGTTATTGCCTATTAATCAAGTTTTTGTATGTAAGAAATTATTGTTAGACATTTTTTTAAGTCTCTGTCTTTTTCATATGATTTTAATGTTTTTTAAATTCTACTGTCAAGTGTAATGTAAAATTTTTTCAACATTTTTATAATTATCATCGCATTGACATCGATAACGTTGTACCAATTTATATATAAAAATAACATAAAAGAAGGAAAGTTTGATTTTTAATATATTATAGGTTTAACTATTATTAATTATTATGATATCAGTATTGTAAAAACCAGTTCAAATATGTAAAAAAAAAATAGTGACCGCAAGTTCCACCAAAAAGGTATTGACCGCAACTGTGCCGATACCAGTTATCAGAGCTATGGTTCTGTTTGTAGCGAAAACGGTTATTCAGGGAAATATCTAATTTTGTACGGTATATTTGGATGTTGTATCGTTTATTTTTAACAAACTAATGGTTACTTTTCTCCAGGAAATCGAAAATAAACATTATTCTTATAATAATATAAAGTTACAACTATTATGTAAATTATAATTTTTGTAATTATTTTCCTTACTTATAAACGAAATTAATCCAAGGAATTTACATAGTAATATTTTTCGCAATAATCCGTATCAGTATTCATTACTACAGGTATAAAATAGTTATATTTAATTTAATTGAAAATTCAATTTCTAATTATAAGTAGGTATGTACCGAGAAGACAACCGTATTGTGCTGGAGGATGACGTCAGCACGTAGGCGGGAGCAAATTTGTTCGGATTCTGGGAAATGCGCGTTAAATATTACGACTTGAAGAACTCAACGTACTAACCGAATTCTGAAAATAATGATTGTCAATTGGCTGTTGACATGTTGTTTTTAAAATTTGTATTAAATTTAGATATTAGAAATATATCTATAAGGCATTTTAGTATTAATCGAACAATATATTGCTTTCTTTCATTGAACACACACAACTTTCATGCACGTCCACAAATGCGTCTAAATATAATAATGTTCCAACTATTTATTACTAACCAGTAATAGGTATCGATTTTTGGTTCGTTTCGCCATTGAATCGCCCATCAAATGACACAACTAATTAAATTGTGACAGAAAGCAAAAATGCTTTTATCGTTTCACTATTAGGTAGAATTTAAGAAAAGTTTTACTGTTTACTGTTTTTTATTCGGACCACCGCGTAGTATAATGTAATAATATTTAATAGTAATAATAATATGATGTATAATTTACAAGAACCTATATTATACATCGGACTACAACTACAGACACACACATTTTGTCGTGTAAAGTATCTACGTGGCGGCCGGCTTTTAAGGAAAAGAAAAAGAAAAACCGAATTAACCAGAAAAGAAAATTATTTTTACATAAAGGAGCGCGACGACGTCGTAGGTATTAATTCTAGCGCGCGAGAACAGTTTAGGTACCTGTACGAGGAGAAGAGCAACTAGTCGGGTGGTGTAATAACGTATAGTTAGAGCAAGACTTGGAAAAAAAAATTTTTTAATGCACATTGAATATAATATATTATTATCTTATAACATTATATCGTAATAATAATACACTTTTCCTGTGTACTTTACGAGTACAGGTGTTGACATTGGGGCGCGAATACTCTTTTTTTCCATTAATTTTTTTTTCGTTGTCCTTTTCACGCGCCCATACACACACACACACACGCACACATACACAAAACTATATACCAATACTCTAGCACTCTCTCCCTCTCTATTTGTTTTTTGTATATTACAAGTTTATGTATATAAATTACATGTAATATATATATTATCTTTAATATCTGCGTACGCGTGCGCGTGTGTGTGTGTGTGCGTATGGTGTGTCTTGTATAATAGTTTTCGGGGTAGCCGCCTGGCACCACTGTCGGAATTTTTCGTACGGGGTTGAAGGCGTCGCGTCTGGCCGCGCGGATAGCCGCCGCCGATATAGTTCCGTGGACCGATTTCAGTCTTGTGTGCGGTCGCGTGTCGTTCGTTTCGCGTTCCGATCGTCCTCTCCGCCCGACGCGAACATTGCAGTCCATCGAACCTCTCGATATTCGCACGACCATTACATTATCACGATAACGATATCATTTTGACATTTTCCGTGTGCCGTTTCGGTTTTTGATTTTTGGTTTTCATCGTTTCCGCGGTTTAGGTTCGGCAGTGCCGTTTCTGTTTGTCTATTCGTGCAGATACTAGTAGTTATCTACTGACCAGATCGGTCGTGTTTTGTTTGTTTGTCGATTTTTTGTTGATTTCGTTTTGACGTCGCGTCTGACTTTTACACATTATCAACGGTGTTATTAGCTGTATATATTTATGCATCGAAGAGAAAATACTGAAGGTGTGTTTTTCACTCGTCATCGCGAACTTTGGATAAATTATTCGTCAACTGTAAGTGATTTTTAAGCCAAAACCATTTACCTATTACGATTTAATAACATGATGTATGAACTCTATAAATACTATATGATCGTCCTTATTATTATTACCTATCAATTTATTAAAATGTGCTTTTAGATGAAATAACGTAGACTCAACTTTTCGCCTTTCGGGTAGGAGATACCTAATCCTCAGCTTAGGTACCTAATCTTGAAAGGGCGAACAAATACTAACGTATTTGAATAGTATTATTAGTTATTAATTATTAATAATATGACGTCAATAAATATCTACTTGTAAGTTGTAATGCATAATAATGATTCTTGGCGATGCTGTAAAAATATTTTTGAACTACAAAATATATTGTGTATTCATTCCTAAATGTACTTCGAAAAATGCGAATATAAATACGAATACTTTCCAAAAGTATTAAAACTTTTTCAAAATGTCCTTTAAATTATTGTAAATTTTTGCGGTAGATATTTTATGAGTACCTAGGTATCTGCACAAAAAACACATAGTAGATCAATTGTTGAATATTATGTATTAAGTTCATGACAAATATTGTCATATAAAATGTGATGGTGTGCAGAGCGTTAAGTGTACTTAAAAAAAAAAATTGGATACTTATATAGATCATTCTATTAGTACTATTTGCTATATAACCAACAGTCATTATATTTTTTAATAA